GGCGCCCGGCGGCCGGGTGGGGAAGCGGGGCTAGTTGCAAGAGGCGGCTCCCAGGTTCTTCTAGGGACGCCTTCGTCGGAGGGAAGTGGGTGTGAACTTGGCCGCCCGGGGACCCCGGTGGCTGGGGTCCGGGGTGAGGGTACAGGGGAGCAGCCTGTAGCCCCGCACATCGGGGAGGGGGCTGAGAACGTGAGTTCGCCTACCCTGACGTGGCCTGGTGACCTGACGTGGGAAGTGGGAGACCGAGGCCGGAGGCCAGTGGGGTGATTGGAAGGAGGTTTAAGGGCCGGGCTGGGGCGGGGTCTCAGGACTGGGCTAGCGATGGGAGCTTTGGGTTGGAGGCTTCGAAGTTCTGGGAGGTGGGGCGGGAGGAACCCGCAGGCATGGCAGCTCAGTCTTGGCTCTTTAAGGCGCGAGCCAAGGATTGTCTCACCATCTGCAGCCAAACCGGCCGCCTTTCTCGCAAGGGGTTTAGAGCCCCTGTTCTCTGCAGTCTTTCGAAGGGAAGGCTCTCCTGACATCTCGGCCCCTGGAGGCATTTAGCGAGTTGAGAGCCTGGGCTCCCACCCTACCTGGGAGGAAACTCAGGGTCCTGAAGGCTGTGCGCTCCCCACCCGCAGGCTGCGACCATGAGGTTAAATCAGAACGTCTCGCTCCTGGGGAAGAAGGTGGTGCTGGTACCCTACACCGCAGAGCATGTGCCCAGGTAACCGTGCCACCTGACATGGGTGCCAGGCGGCTCTCCGAGGTGCAGCCCAAATGTCAGAGGCTCTTTCCTCGGAGGGGAAGCATGGGTGTGAAAAGTGATTACCTGCAGGAAAAAGTGAACAGTGAAGCAGAGGCCTCTGACTTCCCTGGAAGAAGTCACCCATCCCCGCTGTTCCCTTCCGCCCTCTCAGCTTTTGGCTTCTCAGCAAGGAATTAGTTAATGTTCACTAAATGTAAGAAAAAAATTGCCTTCTCACCTGATTGTAAAGTAGCGACATTCCTTTGGTGCCAGTGAATTTTCTGTTCGTGGAGACTTAAGTCAGCTTGTCATAAACTGAGCTGAGGGGGTGGTTTGATGTCTCCTGTTTTGAAAGGCGGGTCTGAGTTGCAGGGTGGGACTCTTTGGGGGGGCAGTTGGCAAAGTCTGGTAGACTGGAATGGTGGTGGTGTAGGGGTGTGGTCTCTACTTGTAGTCTTCTGTTTGGGGTTTCCTTGTGGAGATCTGTCCAGCCTTCTTTGCAGCGGTCAGCTTGCCATATTCTCCCCCTCAGGAATTCAAGGAATGTTTGGCTTTATACCACTCCCCCACACTGACCCCAGAGACAGGATGGGAAACTGGACAGACAGAACTGACCCCTCCTGCTGTTCTCTTGTGGGTCTAGCCTGCCTCTAGGTCTTATGCCTGTGGCCCTCTGCCTTAGGAGCAACTATAACCCTTTTCTTGGGTCTTCTCTGCGCCCTTGAGTTAGCCCTCTGGGGTTCTCCTTCCTACCACCTGTTTCTGCATCTCACAGTGTCAGACCCAGTGCCCCTGAATCAGTCCTGCCTGCTGAAGGCCGTCCCTGTCCCTGCAGGTACCACGAGTGGATGAAATCAGAGGAGCTGCAGCGTTTGACAGCCTCCGAGCCTCTGACCCTGGAGCAGGAGTATGCGATGCAGCGCAGCTGGCGGGAAGATGCGGACAGTGAGGAGCGCGACCCTGGGGTGGTAGTGGGAGGGCTGACTCCAGAGGCAGCCTCCAGGGTCCCTCCCATTCTTCCCCAGCTGTAGCCCTTCATGGCATAGAAACCCGTGAAAAGCCTGAAAGGTGCTTGCAACCCTCACACTCTGATGCCCACTGAAGCTGGTCCCTGTGGCGGACACTTTTGTCCTCTCCCCCACTCCCTGGGCCTGGCTTGGAAGGATTTAAAGGAAGTATTTTGGGCTGCGGTTGTAATTGAGGCCCTGCCCCTCACATCCTTAGCTGCAAGCCCAGTGTGGTTACTGCTCTTCTTTGAGCCCCCTGCAGTCTGAAAATACACTTGCTGCTTGGAGAAGGCCATCATTTCCTGCAAGAGGCAGATTTAGGGCTTTTTAATCAGCCGCAGGAAGCTCTGGCCCCCCTTCTCCTGTCAGACTCAGGGACGCTGCTAGTTCTCTGGCTTGGGTAGGAAAACTGGCCTCACTGGGCGTGTAGATGATAACCCTGCGGCCTCCCTCCTTAGAGTGTACCTTCATTGTGCTGGACGCAGCGAAGTGGCAGGCCCAGCCAGGCACCACCGAAGAGAGCTGCATGGTGGGGGATGTGAACCTCTTCCTCACAGATCTAGGGGACCCCTCCTTGGGGGAGATTGAGGTCATGATTGCAGGTTCGTTTCCTCCCTTCTGGGCCTTGGATCTGCTGAACCTTAAGGCAGCCGAGGCTGCATAGGGACCTCCAGGGGCTCAATGGGAGGCTCTGGCATTGGGGAGCCCAGCACCTGGCTGGGGCAGACTGCCACTTGGTACCCTGTTAGCCTGCGGGTCACTCTGTTCATGTCTCATGCGTAGGTGTGAACTCCACCTTTGGATTTAGGGTCTTCGAACTTCACGCTGCCCTATTTTGGGGGTGGTCTGGGGGATCCTCTAAAATAGTTGATCTTCCCTGGAGCATCTTCCCAGGCTGTGGCAGGAGCCCCTCCAGTTTCTGTGTCCTTCTTGGTCCTTAGCCTTCTCCTAAGAGGCTGTGCGACTCCTCATAAGGCAGCACGTTGAGGTTAAAGGGTCAGCTTTTGGGGTCAGGTTGCTGGGCGTCTCCACACCGAGACCTTGGGCTAGTCATTTCCCTTCTGTGTGCCTCTGTCCCTCATCTGCAGAATGCTAATAATATTTACGGATTTAGTAGAATTGTGAGGATTAAATGAGATCGTATGTGTTGTGCCTGGCACATGATGTCCATGATTGTGGTTTTCTCCTAGAGCCCAGCTGCAGGGGCAAGGGCTTTGGCACCGAGGCGGCGCTCATGATGATGTCCTATGGTAAGGAAGTCAGAGCAGACAGTGTGGGGAGAGCTGGCCAGGGCCCAGGCGAGGGTAGCGCATGTTGGGAGTGAGCCTTCTTCAGGTCTGAGGGTGCAGGCGGGGCAGTGGGGAAGACGGGAGACAGGTGCCTGCACTGCACACTGGGACGGGGCGGGGGGCGGGGAGGCGGCGGAGGGTGTTGGAGGGACCTTCCTCCTGCAGCTTGTCCCTTTCTGATCTCTGGGAGGAGTGACCAAGCTAGGTCTGACCAAGTTTGAGGCTAAAATTGGGCAAGGAAATGAACCGAGCATCCGGATGTTCCAGAAACTTCACTTTGAGCAGGTAAGGATGAGGCTGGCCGGAGGTGAAGCCTGGGTGTGGGTGTTGGGGCCCGCTGGTGCTAGAACCTGTGCCTGTAGCTTAGCCAGCCCTGATCTGTCTGGCTGTCCTAGGTGGCCATGAGCAGCGTCTTCCAGGAGGTGACACTCAGACTGACGATGAGTGAGCCGGAGCGGCAGTGGCTTCTGGAGCAGACCAGCCACGTGGAAGAGAAGCCCTACCGAGATGGGTCCTAGGAGCCCGGCTGAGAGCCCTGCACCAGGAAGTGAACGGACCGGGCCGACCCTCTCCAGGCTGGGGATCTCCTTTCAGGGCCCTTCACACGCGGGGCAGTACTTGCCTTGGCCTCCCCCTGGCTGGCAGTGGGGCTGAGCCACTCCAGGGAGCCCCTCCTCCCGGCCAAACCTGGACTTAGACTCTGAGAACCTGGGGTGGACGGCATGAATACACAGGAAGAGGCCGGGTAGAGGCAGAGCTGGAGATGACAACGGGGGGTGAGGGTGGCCTGGTGAACAGGCCGGACTTCCCTTTTCCTGGAAAGCCAGCGGTGCCACTCTGGGGCTGAGGCCCTGGCCTGAGTAAAGTGCACTGCACGGCCAGCTTTCCGTTCCTCACTGCCCGTAGTCTGTGTGGAGGTGAGCTTCCAGGAGGCCTCCTGCAGCTTCTGTCCCCTCCAGCATGGGAGCGACAGGGCAACTCAGTCCTCTGTTATCCTATGGAAGCAGGCTGGCTGGGTGTGGCCCTGAGAGGTTAGGAAACGAATGAGGTGGCCCTGTTGGACAGGAGGCTTGGACAATGGGCGAGAATCCTTGCTCCCCCTTTCTTTTATTTGGAGCCAGTTTTGAGTAAATTAGTTTTGGATCCAGCTCCTCGTGGCTGGACAGCACCCCTCTGCTGAGTTTGAGGCCTCCTGTGTTCTGCCCTCCACCTCCGGGAGCTGCTGCACCTGTCAAGGCCACAAGGGGGCGCCAGAGGTACCGGTTCGGGATGGCATGGCTGCCTGACAACCTGTGCTTAACAGAGCTGGGCCAGGTCTGGCCACCTCAGAGCAGGGAGGACACCCATTGACTTCTAACTGCTCCGGCCCTCCCTGTCATGATCTGCAGTGGCGTCAAGGAAAGCCAGTCAGGTTTCAAAACAGTCGTGGAAGAGACTCCGGAGGGTACCTGGGCATTTTCAAGGGTAAGAAACAGCCCAGGCGAGTTCGGGCGGCTTTAGATTCTGTAAAAATAGAACTAAAACACGCCTGAAACCAAGATAGAAACTCCACTTGCTGGGGCCCCCTTTATACCAGCCTCCAGCCCCACATCACTCGTTCCCTGTGAGCCACCTGTGGTCTCGCTTAACCAGTCAAAGATCCCTAGGGTTCCCCACCCAGCAGGTGACCTGGGGGGGCAGTCCTCGGGCCTGCCCACCTGTGGGGTCTCCATCGGGTCAAAGCCTAGAGGCGAGGGTGGGTTGGGGGCAGGCCAGGCCAGCTGAGCAGGGCCTGGGGCGATGGGTGTGAAAGGATTTTGGCCCTAAACCCAAACAAGAGGCCAAGATGGCCAGAGTGACTAGCTCTTCTCTCCACAGGCCCAGCAGGTGACCTGGGGGGGGGGGCAGTCCTCGGGCCTGCCCACCTGTGGGGTCTCCATCGGGTCAAAGCCTAGAGGCGAGGGTGGGTTGGGGGCAGGCCAGGCCAGCTGAGCAGGGCCTGGGGCGATGGGTGTGAAAGGATTTTGGCCCTAAACCCAAACAAGAGGCCAAGATGGCCAGAGTGACTAGCTCTTCTCTCCACAGGCCCCCTCCCTGGCTCACGGTCTCCCTGTTCTCCTCAGTCCCAGGAGCCTGGCTTCGGAGGTTTCCTGGTTGGGCGGAGAGTTGCCTGGGGCCAACTCGCTTCCTTCTCTCTGAGCACCTGCCCTGGAAGCTCCTGGCCCGGCAGCCTCAGCTCTCAGGCCACCTGGCAGGCCTCCAGGACGTGGCTGCCAGAGCCAGAGACGTAAAGGACTGGGTCTCCTGTGGAGGAACAGGGCACTTCGCCCTTGGCAAGTCCGCGCACCCACCTGCCACATGGCATATCCTGGGGCCCGGGGAGGCCGTTTGTTTTCGCCTAGGCCTGGGAACTGCCCTCCAACCCGGGCCAGGGCCAGATAAGAGCGTATTTGGCGCCAGCTCAGGCCACTCCTGGGAATCCTGCACCCCATGGGCTGAGGGCGGGAAGATGAAAGGCAAGCTTTCACTTTCCCAGTCAGGCCCCAGCGGGTTCACGCCCCAAAGCTCCTGGACTCAGGAAGGCTCGGCGTCCTCAGCATGTGCTCTGGGCCCCTAGTTCCTGGGGCGAACATGCCTATGCAAGTTGACCACCAGGGGAAGCGCCTGGAACTGGTGGGTGGGGCCAGCGGACAGTTACAGACAGGCCCAGGGCCCTCCCCTCCCAGCCAGAGGCCACCCTGGGAACACAGGTTTGCCACCTCTTGAGGCCGGGAGGACAGAGCTCTAAAGGAAGACAGAGGCCGAGGCGGTTTGGAGAAACCAGTTGAATTTCTGGTGGAGTTTCCTTACAATGGTGGTGCCTGGTTCAGGGCTGGCCAGGGAGGGGCCAAACCCTCCCCCACCTGCCAGGGTTTCTGTGGTGGGAGTAGAAACAAGAAAGTCTAAGGCTGAGGCCGCTGCTATGTCTTGCATGCAGCAACCTGGAAAATCATGTTAATCAGGAGACAAAAATCCCTCTACTCTGAACTCAAAAAAAAAAAAAATCCAATGAACAAAAATAAGATACTCAACCCACAGCGCTTGAAATGCTGTGGCTGCTGCAATCCCGGTCCTTGATCAATCAACAGTTCTCTAGAAGAATCACATTTGCCAAGAGGGGGCTGCTGGTGCTGATTTGTTTGCCATTCAGGGGTCAGTGGGGAGGAGGGGGGGTTGGGTGGGGTACGGGCCCAGCCCTTCCAGCTTGCTGGGTGGTGCGAGGAGGCGCTCAGAGATTGCTGAAGAGTTCGTTTTTCTTGCTCCAGTCCATCTGCGGGGCCCGTTTGTTGCTGCGCTTCTGGTGGGCCCTCTCTTTGGCCACGGCCAGGGAGATGTTGAAGTCTGGGATGGGGTCGGAGGAGGAGGTAGATGAGGGTGCTGCGGAGTCCTGCTTCTTGGGGCTGTCTTGGGAGTTCAGCTGAAAGAAGAGGGGGAGGCAGAGCGGGAGTCAGTGCCGGGCGAGGCGTCCTGGTCCTCAGCCTCGGAGGTGGCTCCTTGGGGCAGTGCCCAGGGAAGCCAGGTCACAAGAACAGAACGTGGCTCAGCATGTGACCCCGAGGCAGGCTGGTGTGCCAGGCACGAGTGTGGCCTGAGAACGGGGTGCCACTAACCCAGTGCCGCCCTTGCCCACCCGCTGGCCTACCTCCTCGCTGGTATCGCTAGAGGCGGACCGTGCCAGGGCTGGCCTGGGGTTCTCGGAGGCCACCTCAGACAGGGCTTCATAACTGTTCTCCTGGCAGAGAGAGGACAGGTATGGGTTGGCGGGGAGTGGGTTGGGGAAGTCCTGAGCAGGAAAGGGAGATTCCAGGGAAGACAGGTGCCTCGTCTGAGAATCTCCACTTGGGCCCTTGCCATCTACCCGAGCCCACGGCCTGAGCCTGCCCGCGGCCCTCAGGGGACTTCCATTGTTACATTCCTCCCAGGACCAGAGGGGAGGACCCTCCGGGGATTAGCTGAACTGCCCATTCCCAGTCCTCCCAGTGAGGCCTTCAGGACGGCCTTGCCTTTGGGCCAGTGACCAAGGAGAGGTTCCTGGGGCGTGGGGACACTGGAGGCCGACTTGGCGTGGGAAACCCCTGTGATGCTCCCTGAATCTCCTGTTGCCATCTAATTACTTGGACTTGACCCAGGAATCTTAAAACTAACCCCAAAGCAGCTAAAAAGGGCTTAGGAGTGAGGAGTAAGGTGCATGAGATTCTGCACCCCAAATGGAGTGACAGGTGGTCCAGGGACACCCCCTGCTGTGTCCCCCAGCAGGAGGCCCTGGGGCAGGGGAGACTGAGCAGACCCTGCAGAGAGCCTCGCTCCGTGGTCAGTCTACCCCAGAGTGAAGGCCTTGGTCAGGCCTTCAGCTTGGCGCTCAGCCCCTGCCTGGGTTCCTGGGGCCGGGCTGGCACCGGGCCCTGCCATCTCAGCTCCGGCCTCCACTGCCTTCCCTTCCCTTCTGCCTGGAAGAAGGAGGGGCGGGGGCTTTGTTCTTCCAACCCAGCCTGGAAGTAGCCGGGCAGCAGGCGGCCAGACACTGCTGCTCTGTTCTTGGGGGGAAGAATGGCCTCTTCTGTGTGGGGGACTTGGAGGCAGGGCTTGTTACCAGGATGGCGGGGTGCAGAGGGGCGCGCCAGGCCTCTCCTTGGTCCCAGGCAGGGGTCGAGGGCACACCGGTAGGTATATAGTGTGGACTCGGGAGGGAGTAGCTCGGAAATGAGTTCCCACCGGGGCCAGCTGGCTGTCCTCCCAACCACACCCCCTTCCACCCTCCTCCCGCAGCCCCCAGACTAGGAGCCAGAGAAGCAGTTAGGGGTTCACCTTTACCTTCTGGATCTCCCCATTGGTAAAGGGCTCAGGCAAGGGACCTAGTGAAGGGAAAAAGCAGAGGTGAGTCCAGAAGCTCTGGGCACGCGGGCGGGTGGAGCGTGGAGGCGGGAGAGGTGTGGGGCTGGGAGAGAGCTCGTTCCCTAGTCAGTCTCTTGGCTGCACCCCACTGTAAGTGCGGCTGCCACTCTGATGGCCCGGCACACACACTGTGCGTGAGTGTAACAAGTTTCAGAGAACAACCTGCTCTTACCGCACCCCATCTTCCCTCGAGGCCTCACAAAGCTCATGGACGGTTTCTACTCGCTTTCCTGAGAAAGAATGTGCTGGTCGCTGCCTATAACCCAATCGCACGAGCCCCTGATGGAGCATCAGCTGCTTGAGCCAAGCCTTGTCCCGGATGGGGCTGAGAGGGCGGGCCGCCCATCTGAGAATCACCAGGGAAACTGGTTAGGAGCACAGATTCCTGGGCCCCGGCACCGGAGCCTCTGGTCCAGTGGGGCTGAAGCAGCCCAGGAATCCGAATGTTCCAAAGGCTTCCTAGGAGACGGAACTAGAACCACACCCAGCTGCCCCTGCCTCAGCCTACTGGCCAGCGTGGAGAGAGGACAGGAGGGCTCAGGGCAGTGTCCCAGCCAATGGGAACAGGGAGGTGGCCGGAGGGGTCAGAGGGAGCAGATGCTGCCTGGGGTCACCCTCACTGGGCTCGTCTGGCCAGAGGCCCCACGTGGCTGCAAGGGGAGCTGCTCCATCTCTGGGGACTAGTCAGCCTGGGCGGATTCCTTCTGAACTTAGCTTAACATTGTGTATATCCCCTACCCCCACCCTGGACCCCAGTCTGGGCAGCCAGGCATACCTGCCTCTCACCTCTCCTTCCTCCCAACACCCTCGGCCTTCCCACAGTGGCTGGCAGGGGACTGTTAGGACATGGGGACGCTCACTCCTACTGCCCCCAGGCTGAGTGGGTAGGTGACACCATTCTGGAGAGACCAGGAGAGACACTGGGGAGACCTCTCCCAGTGCAGGTCCTCTGGGCAGGGGCTGCAGTCACCCTGTTCTCAGGGCCCCTCCCACCCAGCCAGACAGAGAGGGAGGGCGGTGCGGGCTGGTGACCTGGCGCTGAGGGGAGAAGGTGCTGGAGGAGGCCGGGAAGGAATCTGAGGAGCTGGGAGGAACCCAGACCTCTGCTGTGTCTCCTTCATGCCATGTCCCCAAGAGCCAGGCTGGGGCTTCTCTGGGCCTCAGTTTCCCCTCACTGAGACAGGGGGAGGTGGCATCCCACCTCCCATGCAGAGTCTGCTAGGGATTTCCAACTAACCCCTGACTCCAGCACCCCTAGCACCCTAGATTGAGCTAGATAGGATGGGGCCTCCCCAGTCGGCCCCTCCAGCCAGGGATCTAAGCCTATGTCATGTTCTTCATGTGGAACCCCCCCTTACAAACAGAACCCTGACACCTTCAGGGAGGGGCCGCCCATTGCAAAGACCAAAGAGGTTCTATCCCTGACCTGCCCCCAGCCATCTTCCCAGGGAGAAAATGCAGACCAGGGAGCAGAGCGCTGCTTAACTCCTCCCTGCCCCGCGTAGCAGCCCTGCCCCCACTTAGCTTGGGCTCTGGCAAGGGGCCGTGCCAGGCTTGGCAGGGTGACCGTGGGGGGTGGGGAAGACAGGGGCCCAGGGACCAAGGGGGGACCCACTGCTCTCTCCAGCCAGCAAGCCTGGGTTTCCAAGACAACCTGAGAGAAGGGAGGGGGAGGCACTGGGCCCCTGTCACTGGACTCTGATCTGACCAGGCGGCAGCCCCAGAGTTAACCCTTTCCTGGCATAGCCCTGCCCTGAGAACGTGGTGGGGGTGAGGGGCTGGGTTTCCTTTAGTGCTGCTCTGGCCCAGGGACAGCAGCTCCGTCCCACCTCACCATCCCTGTGCCCGCTTACCTGTCACATGCCATCCTCAGACACCCAAGGCCCATCCCTGCTTCCTGCTGATACTAGCTCGCCCCCCTCCCTCCCCACCCACACCCCTTGGCCTCCCCGGAAGGAGAGGGAGGGAGCATCGCAGCAGGAAGCTGTCACCCTCACCTGGGACCCAGCCACGTCCAGAACTCTGGCCAACATCCCTGACTTGGGGGCCTCCAGCCACCCCGCCCAGCTCACCATGCAGGTGCTCGTGAGACGGGATCACTTTGCATTTCTTGAAGAACTCATCGGTCTCCTTGTCCACCACCAGCAGCTTGGTCTCCTCGCCGCCAGCCTTGATGGCAGACACCACATCCCCGTGCTGCTTGCCCTCCATGCAGACGCCGTTCACCTGTGGGCGGGGCATGGTTACCAGCACAGGTCTCAGTTCTGGGGGCGTCAGGCGAGGAGGCACAAGTGGTCCTCTTCGTCCTCAGCCAGTTGGCAATCCAGGGACTCGGAGCCCCCCTTGCCCAGAGTCCTGAACGAGGCAAGGGGTCCTCCCACTTGATAGTCAGATGGGAGGCAGGACACATGGGAAAAGCCAAGGAAAATATCCGGGGGAGACCAAGCAAACAGCTGGGAAGACGACGGGCAAGGCCTGGGGCCTGGGTGGGCCCCAGCTCCCCTCAGTGGACCTGCCTCGGCCTCCCGCCCTGGCCCTGGCTTGCTCAGTGTAAAATGAGAACCTCTAAGGTTCGGAGACTGAGATTCTGGGACCTGCCCAAGGCCTTGGTTTGCGTTTCCTCGGCAGCCCCAGAGTTAACCCTTTCCTGGCATAGCCCTGCCCTGAGAACGTGGTGGGGGTGAGGGGCTGGGTTTCCTTTAGTGCAGCTCCGTCCCACCTCACCATCCCTGTGCCCGCTTACCTGTCACATGCCATCCTCAGACACCCAAGGCCCATTCCTGCTTCCTGCTGATACTAGCTCGCCCCCCTCCCTCCCCACCCACACCCCTTGGCCTCCCCGGAAGGAGAGGGAGGGAGCATCGCAGCAGGAAGCTGTCACCCTCACCTGGGACCCAGCCACGTCCAGAACTCTGGCCAACATCCCTGACTTGGGGGCCTCCAGCCACCCCGCCCAGCTCACCATGCAGGTGCTCGTGAGACGGGATCACTTTGCATTTCTTGAAGAACTCATCGGTCTCCTTGTCCACCACCAGCAGCTTGGTCTCCTCGCCGCCAGCCTTGATGGCAGACACCACATCCCCGTGCTGCTTGCCCTCCATGCAGACGCCGTTCACCTGTGGGCGGGGCATGGTTACCAGCACAGGTCTCAGTTCTGGGGGCGTCAGGCGAGGAGGCACAAGTGGTCCTCTTCGTCCTCAGCCAGTTGGCAATCCAGGGACTCGGAGCCCCCCTTGCCCAGAGTCCTGAACGAGGCAAGGGGTCCTCCCACTTGATAGTCAGATGGGAGGCAGGACACATGGGAAAAGCCAAGGAAAATATCCGGGGGAGACCAAGCAAACAGCTGGGAAGACGACGGGCAAGGCCTGGGGCCTGGGTGGGCCCCAGCTCCCCTCAGTGGACCTGCCTCGGCCTCCCGCCCTGGCCCTGGCTTGCTCAGTGTAAAATGAGAACCTCTAAGGTTCGGAGACTGAGATTCTGGGACCTGCCCAAGGCCTTGGTTTGCGTTTCCTCTCCGCCCAACAGCCTCACTTGGGAGAGGACTTCACCCTCGCACTCCATCCCTGCACCTGGCATGGAGGACGCAGGAAGCTCTGGGGGTGGCCCCGGATGTCGACCTGGATCGATGGGTGAATCATGAACTGCCAAGTGTGTCTGCTCAGTGAAGAGGCTCCCAGGGGAGGCAGGGAGGATATCAGTCCTTTGCCTACCCACCATCTTTCCGTCTTTCCTTCCCTCCTGCCCGCCCACCATCCCTCCCGCCGGCATCTACGCATCAGGAGCTAACCAAGGAGCTGCTGGTGTGATGGCTGCCCCAGGAGCTGTCTGTCTCTGGGGGGAGGTCGCCAGGTTGGAGGAGCCTGGGGAGAAGGCGAGAGGCATTACCTCCACGATACGGTCCTGAGCCCGGAGCCCCGAGGCCTCGGCGGGCGAGTCTGGGTCCACGGACCGGATGAACTGGCCTGGCTTGGTCTTGTCGCTGTGCAGGTTGAAGCCGTAGCCGTTGGGACCCCTCTTCATGGCGCAGAGCCGAGGCCGAAGCTCACGCTGTGGGGACAAAGCAGAGTCCGTGTCGTTCCAGTGTCCTGGGCCCCACTCTCCCCGCCTGTGCCCGGCGCCAGCTCCCACCAGGAAGATCTGATAACAGGCAGATCTGCTGAGATCCCACTGCACCGGGGAGAACGCTGGCCGGGGCCCCAACACTGCGTGGAGACCCCGTGTTGCAGCAAAATGCCTGGGTGACCCTGGGCAACAAGGCTCCTCTCCAAGCCTCAGTTTCCTGTTCTGCAAATGAGAAGTGGGGACAGAGTAGCTCAAGTCCCTCCCCTTTTGACATTCTATGGTTAATCACTTTGATTGATACCTTGTCCCTCCTACCAACGGCTCAGCTGGCCCTCCTGGGGGGTGACAGGTGGGTACCTGACATGGGATGGGGAACCCTGACCTCTGTATAAGATGTGAGAACCATTTCAGTGCAAGAGATCTGCCTGTGCCTTCACAGGTGGCCCTGGCCAGGCCACGGCCGCAGCCACAAGGGGTTCCTTCAGCCCAGCCCTTCTATTCAGGGCCCCCTCCCTATCCAGGCTCCTGTCTGCAGAGGGAGGCAGGCCCGGTGTTTACTGAAAGCTGGGCGGCATGTTTACAGTAAAGCCGTTCCTCACGCAGGCTCCTGTCTCTCCCCCGCCAAGCCAAGTGGCCCAGCCAAAGGGAGCCGAGTGGCCAATGACCACAGACCAGGGGGATGCACAGTCGGGGGTCCTGGACAGGACAAGAACCCCACCGGTGGAGCCAAGACCGGTCTAGCAGAGAAGAGCAGAAGCTCAGAGATCCTGCTGGTCCCCAATGAGCACAGACACCCAGCTGGGACCATCCCGCCATCCTCGGGCCGCCTTAGGCAGCTGAGCTCGCGGCTGCAGCCCAGAAGGCGTGTACATGATGCAGGGAATCGGGTGTGGGTGGGTAGGACACTGCAGCCTGAGCACCAGGGCTGACTTGGGGTCCCTCTCCCCCTACTCGCAGGCCTGGGGCAGGGCACAGCAGCCAGCCTATGAGCTCTGGGTCGCCCCTGGACACCAGGCCACGAGCAATGGCTGAAGTCAAGGCCCTGGCCCAGGTTCCAGCTGCCCCACTGTGTGAGCTGGGGCAGCGATTTCCTTCTCAGAGCCCCAGTTTCCTGAGGCTCTTAACATACAAGGGGACACCCCACAAGCGTACAGTCCCTGAGCGGAGTAGACTTTCCCACTGTTGTGAACGCTCACGAGCAGTCAAATGAAAGTGAGAAGTGAGATACTGGGGCTTGGGGGTGGGTCCAGGTTGCTCTGAAACCCCAGTCGCAGCTGGGAGTGGAGGTGAGGAGGGTTCACAGGCCACCTGTCCCAGCCCAGGAGGCAGCGCCATCAGCTGGAGGCTCCGTCCCCACCCCTCACTCTCAGGGTGACTGTGCCTCCGGTTAAGTGCTGGGGCGGATCTTTCTGTGCTTCAGGATGTTGGTGGGGGGTGTGGACAGGCCAAGACAGGAAGGAGGGCTGACAGTTGGGCCTGCGGGTACCCTAATCTGGGCTAGAGGCCCAGGCCCCCCTTTCTCTGAGTTCTCATCCCTTCCCATTCCTCGTGGCAGGGCCCCACCAGCATGCCCAGCTGATGCCTGCTTATCCGGCCAGCACAGCCCTCTGGGATCTGGGATCTGGTTCCGGGTGTAAGACAAACTCTTCTCCCCTCAAGCTAATCCCTCCGCAAAGCTGTGGGCCGCCCTCCCCCAGGCGAGGTAAGCAGAACAGGTCTGACCAGCTGCCGCCACCTGGGCAGGCTCAGCTTTCGGCCCAGCCAGGCTCAGCTCCACCAGGGCCCTGAGAACGTGGGGAGGGAGGGGGCAGCTCCCATGTCTCTGCCTCTCCCCACCTGCCCTCACTCCAAAGAGCCTTCCCAGAACAACCTGGCCCAGGCTGGTCACCCGCAGCTTCAAGATGGGGAAACTGAGACTCGAGATGCCATGCCCACTGCCTGACGTCACACACGGCTTTACAGGGGAGGAGCCCGAACCCCAAGCCTGTCTCTGACTTGGAGCCCGTGTTCTTCCCACCATCTCTGGGCTGGCACCTGAAGACCCAAGTTCAGATTGGGAGGTGCGCACCCCCACTCCGCCCCCACCCCGGAGCTGGGGCCTCAGCAGGGTCACAAGCACTGGAGTCCTCTCCCCAAGGTGCCTGCAGCCTCTGCGGGGAGGGGCCTGGGAGCTGATGAAACCACAGCCTTCCTTCCGGGTGCGCGAAAGGTTCTTGCAGCCAGAGCTAAGCCTGAGCTTGGGATAGGCGATGACAGGGACAGTGAGCAGCCTGAGCTGGGCCTGGGCGGGGAAGGGGGCAGCGTGGGTGCTCTCCAGGTTGGCACTGCTGCCCGGGGCCCTGTGTCTGGGGCTCCCCTTACTGAGCCTTGCCTGATGACCTGTCCTTAAAGCTGGAGGCCGCACTGAGCCACGAGGATGGAAGAAATAAGGGACCCAGCCACAGGGCTCAGGGACCTGCTCACTGCCCTCTGGGCAGGCGGACAGGAAACCCCTTCTGAAGTGTTGGACACCCACAGAGCCCCATCCCGAACCCTCCTTCCCAGGGCCAGCTGCAGGCTTGCATTCCTCCCGGAGACCAACTTGTTCCCCCCTCCCCCCACCCCCTCCAGGAGGTGTCAGCGCCAGCTGCTGAGTCAGCCCAGCCCATCCTGGGTGGAGGCTGGTGCTGACAGGAGTCCCTGGGGGCAGCCTCCCTGGGGGTCGTGGGGCTGGCCCAGTCCTGAGAAGAGAAGATGGGAGGGGCCAGCTGCCCGGCGTGGGTCCTGGGTTAGAGCTGGGCAGGGCCTGGGGAGAGGGGGAAATGGCAAGTCCAAGCCATCCCCGGCCTGCGGTGTGGCCCCAGGGGTTCAGGGGGAGCCTTGTGCTGGTGCTTGAGGGGCCCAGAGCCGGGCTGGGGGTCACTACAAGGGGAACATGGTCTCAGGGTGTTCAGAGCCTCAGGGAGCACAGCTCAGCAGTAAAAATCAGGATCTGCTCAGTGAGGAGACTGGCAGAGATCCGCAAGCGAGAGGAAGGAGCGTGAGGCAATGGTGGCCAGTGGGCAGTGCAAACGGGCTGGGGCGGCTTGAGTCTGAGTCACTTCCAGAAAACGCGAGACCCACTTTCTGGAAAAGACCCTGCCAGGAGACCTGCCTCCAGACTCATGGCGCCACCAGGTTCTCGGCTGCTCCAAATTCTGTCCCAGGCCTGCCCTCCTCTCTCCCAGGGAGCCCAGCCCCACCCCAAGTGGCCGCCCAGTCACCTCCACCCCCGCAGCCCAGGGAGCGGATGGCGGGCACGGAATTCAATAGGCACCACAAGCAGCCACCTGGAAAGCCGGGGAAAGTCGATACCCTAATCCCAGTGACTGTCTCTGGGGATCAGGCCCAGGGGAGGATGGCTGGGGGGCCAACGCCCCGCTGGGCCTGGCCCCTCCCTGGCCGGTGCCATGGTGAAGAGCCCATATAGAACAGCCAGGCAGCTTCCTGCAAGGGGCGGGCTGCAGGAGGGGAGACTACCAGGTGGCTAGGGGA